GATTATTGTTTAATGTTGTATGGCCCCGGTTATGCACAGTATATCTGTGACTGTATGAAAATGAAAAATGGAAAAAATAAAAACATTTTAAGGACAAGATAGTTTTATTTGTTGTACTAAATCATGGTTAAGAATACAATGGTTAGCTTAATGCCGCATTATAAGCCACAAATATAATGATTATAGCAATTACTGGATTAAGCTACATTGCACCTTAGCACAAGCATCGTGGTTTTGAATAGGGTGGTACCCCAGTTGTAAACCATAGGTTGTAGCATAGCATTATGTGTGAGCCAGTAATTCACACAAAGTACTAAGCCCTAAGTACTTGGATCATGGGTTGTTGAATAAACCACGGGATATAAATCAACGCATAAGATTAAACCATCCACCATGGCGAAAAACCAGCATATTGTGCTAAACTAAAATTGCAAATATTCAAAGTAATACAAACCATATTGAGGGTAACTTGAAAAGGAGACCCAGTTGACTGAGTCTCCTTTTCCATCTGACATTCCTAAAATATTTTTTCCTTGTGTTTCTCTTCTAGAAGTACCAAATCATCATCCTCCAGACTGGCAGCTTTGACAGCAACGTATCAATGATCGAACGCCGGTATTCTGATTTTGAAAAGCTGCACACGAGCCTATTTAGGGAGTTTTATGACGAAATGGAAGACATTGTCTTTCCCAAAAAGATCCTGACTGGCAATTTCCTGGACGAAGTCATCCTGGAGAGGAAACTAGCTTTCCAGGATTATTTGCGAATTCTATACTCCATGGAGTTCATCAGGACCTCACAGGTGTTCATTGACTTCTTAACGAGGCCGGAGCTGGAGGAGGCCTACAGCTGCCTTCGGGGAGGACAATATACCAAAGCTTTGCAAGGTCTTCTGGAGGCCATAGCGTTGCAAGAGAAGCTCACAAAGCACAGACCCATTCTGCTGGCTCCCACCCTCTGCGCCATCCTTGTATGTCACAAAGATCTGGAGAACTTCAAAAGTGCCTTCGAATTTGGAGAAAAGGCCCTACAACGGTTAGAAAAACACCCTGGCCACTGTTACTACCTGCCATTGCTAGAAACGATGATCTCCTTAGCCTACGAGCTCGGGAGAGACTTCTTGTTCTTCCAAAAGAAGATGGAAGAGAGGAAGACCAGAAATCTCCCACAGAAAATGTTGACACTGAAGGAACTGACAGTACAGGAATATGTGCAATGAGGAGAAGAAAGGAGGAGAAATATAATGAGGGTTTTGACGAGACAGGAACATTTTCCCAAGATATTGGGAACTTAGAGAGGGGGGAATATGTATGTATGTATGTATGTATGTATGTATGTATGTATGTATGTATGTATGTATGTATGTATGTATGTATGTATGT